CACAAATCAGGACCAATCCAAATCAATATATCCACACCGATGCAACTACATACAAAAAGTTCAGACGATCGACCGATCGAACCATATATATGGATGTGTTGGATTTAATTTAACGCTATGTAAACCTGCAAGAATTCAATTTCAAATTACAGTGGCTGTCTATCGATCTTTTTTTTTTCATTTGACATCTCGAATCAACAGGGCTTTGAATTTCCATATAAAAAAGACGTGAATATTAGGGAATAAGCTAATATTAAATAATTAGAAGGGCGTGAGACTTCGAACCAGATCATCTAGCCCACCACCTTGTGTCCTTGTGGAGCTAGCCGGAAGACCCCTGGGTGTTTCTCCTGGATTTCCATATCTCAAGTTTAAGTTTTTTTTCTCAATATTGCATCCCAGCCTCTACATCTATATATAGGATGCATACAACAATACTCATATTTATGTTGTCAAATCCATGATTTCTTTGGAATAAATTCATTTTTTAAGGAAGACCTCAATGCAAGAAGGAGGGAGGGGATATATAGTTCCTGCTGCTTTATATTTTTATAAGGAACAGTCAAATCATTTTTATACTACTATAAATTATCTACACTTAATTCGTAATAATTACAATGTATAAATTTGTAACTTTCAAAATTTACATAGTAATTTTTATAACACATAATGTATAAGAGAATTAGGATTAAAAATAATTTATTATTTACTTGGAAGAGGAGATAGAAGCATACATACTTACTTATAGGAGAGAGTAATTACCGAGGGAAAAGTGACTAAAATTAAGTGAAAAATGTGGTGCTATAATTTTAGGAAACCCCGAAAAGTTAGTTAACCTTGTTTATATGGGAAACTGGCACAGTTAATTGAAAGAAAAAAAAAACTCCACATGGAGAATTAAAATAAAAAACCTGCAGTGACACAACTACTGAGACTGCCCGCCGCAAGTCATCGTTGTCCAGCAAATTGCAAATGAACAAGCAGCTTTGATTTTCTATGATAGTCGGTAAACGATATCCACAAACCCCAATTGTGAAGTAGAACACAATAGGCAAAAAGGATACATGATCGATGACGCTGTCAATACCCTTTTAGAACACCAAGATCGGATTTCTCATCTGAAGAAAGAGAGATCAGTAGAGAACCACCACAGCGACATCTCTAAGTTGGCGGAAAATGACACCCCTAGACCTTAACATCATCGGCACCAGTGGCACCAGTTAGAGATTGGGTAAGGCTTTTCGGTAATTTTACCATCCTTGAGAAAATACCGAGAGGTACCATACTTTCTAGTGTAAAATTTAGGCTGCGTTCTTTCCACAAGTTTCCCAACCCCTTTCCCTCGTTTTCCGCGTGCACGCTTTTCAAACTGCTAAATGGTGTGTTTTTTTGTAAAAAGTTTCTATACGAAAGTTGCTTTAAAAAAACAAATTAATCCATTTTTGAAAAAAAATTAGCTAATACTTAATTAATCACACGCTAATGGACCGCTCCGTTTTTCGTGCGGTGGAGTTGGGTTCCCAACCCCAAGTATCAAACACAGCCTTAGTGTTTCTAAATACTAAGTACCTTGAGGTATCAAAAACTTTAATGTAAAATTTAAGTATCTCGAAGTATTTTTTTGAAGTACCCAGTTAAGCTCTCTCAACTGTCGATCACCTTTGTGTTGCCAAGGTTAATAAGTATTATAGGTTATTGTTGTCTACCTCGTCACACCTGACGCAATGGCTCTAACTCGGTCATAATCCAATCTCCACATAAGCTATCAATTCAACAGCACTCCTATTTCGTTGGAATATTTCCAACAAAATTGCATCACTTTGACCAGTTTGCCGATCCCAAATGAAGCTTTATCAATTGGGTAATTTTACCATCCGTAAGAAAGTACCGGAATGTATCATATTTTTTATTGTAAAATTTAGTATCTTGAGGTACCAAAAGATTCAGTTTAAAATTTAGGGACCTCGGTATTTTTTTCAAGAAATATAAAATTTCTCTTATTAATTAATCTCCGTCAATTACATCAAGGTGATCATTTTTGATACACTACCTTGTTCCATCGGTGGGCACCGAAAACACACCTGCGGCAGATAGATCGAGTTTTCTTCAGATCTGCATGCATGCATGGCAGCAGCAGGTATAGCCAATCAGATGAAAATCTGATCACATGGAGACAACTATCCGATCACCTCCGTGACACACCCAACAACGATAGCTCTCGCGATCAATCGGCCTTCGCCACCGCCGCCCGCGAGCCCACTGACCAGCAGCCAAGATCGAAACCTGCACGCCGCATGCTTATTTGCAACTCACCCTCCTCGATCGATCCTCATCTGAATATACTGAAACCGTGTGTAAACAAATTGTAATCCTATCAATATGGCATTTGGGCAAAATCAATCAGTGATATTCCTTTGTTCCTGTCTACCACCATGCTGTGCTAGCTAGCTTATGTCTACATTTGCGTTGCTGTGATATTCCTCGGTGCGTACAGTACGTACGTAGGGCATGTGCAGAAATTATTGCTTAGCTAGCTAGTAGTGTTCGTTCTCTTCTGATGTTCAGTCAAATTTTCAGTGGGGGTTTCGAGAGATCGGAGAGAAGGAAAGATGAGATGCGTCTTTCTCGTCTGCATGCTTGGGCTTCAGATCGTTGGACATGACTGTCTGCTCTCCCGGCTGCATCTGTTTGTCATGGCATATGTGTTTGTGCAATTGGATGATTTGGCTTTTGGTTGGCTGATGACCATCTGTGTGCCTGGAAATGGAGGCTGCACACTGTGCCGTTTTGGGCGCCTAGCTTGCCTCATGCATATCATTCAGTCATTCAGTCTGATGACTGACTGTATTAATATCTACTCCTCCAGTACTCCAATACACTAGTACTACTACTTTTGAACTCTGTCTGGTTTTGGTTACTTGTGTGTGCATGGTTATTTTGAAATCATATCAGCATGTTCTTTTCTGATTTTGGCCTGGTTTAGTTCCCAACTTTTTCTTTAAACTTCCAACTTTTTCATCACATCAAAACTTTCCTACACACAAACTTTCAACTTTTCCATCACATCGTTCCAATTTCAATCAAATTTCCAATTTTAGCGTGAACTAAACACACTATGGGTTTTTATTTGCACGCTTGCAAGCTCCTACATGGTGTGCTTTGTGCAAAGAAAGTTTATATAATTTTTTTCTTGAAATACTTTTCTCTTTGTAGCAAATTTATTCGTTTACACCTTCAAATAGCTATTACAAAAATCAGATTATTCATCACCTATCTTAAATGGGTGTCTTTCTTTAATAGTTTTGAGCTCTTGATTAATTATATAGGACCAGATCATCACAGCTCTTTGGGTAGCTAAAGATAAGTTCAGACAGTCAAAATTTTGTCTGCAGCTAGCCAGCTAGCCAGCTAGCATGAAGTTAGTTAAGCTGCCTATGTGTATGGCACCAGCTAATCTACACTAGAATTTGAAAAAACCTGAACTTGTTTTGATTACTGATATACATCAGTCCAGTATATAGATGGCTACAAATGATTGTCTAGGAGGAGTGTACTCAAGACTTCAGAGCCAGAGTCGACATCACGTCTAGTCGATCGTCTATACACAATAATATCCGTATAATGCCAAATTAACAGCTCGACCAAACTTACACGAAGTTGGTCATCTAGAAAATTGGATAATGCATAACGAAAATTGACCTGCAGGAGAGAGACAGTTGTCTAATATAGTACTAGTTTGCAATTATACATGAGCCAATCGACCAAACCGTGTTCAACCTTCAGAAGCACATTAAAACGAACAAACGGCAACAATCCAAACTCAAATCGGTGGATAAAAAAAAATGCAAGCTAGTCAAAGATGAACATATGCAACGATGCACAGCTACCTAGCTAGCTGGCAGTTTCATGCTGCAACACACAAAAGTTCAGGATCTTGATAGAAACAGCTTGGAAGTTGAGCGTCCCAGATCGAGTAATATGGAAGTAAGGATCTCCAATCGGATTAGGTGTGATATGCAGCATGTTTCATCCGGCACCAACCGTGACAACGCCATGGATGACAATTTTGCCATGAGAAACGGCGTCTCGGCCGGCAGCAACAGATCAGGTTGGGAATAATTTGCATTTCCAGGCTAATTTAACCTAACAATTTTGAGTATTAATGGGCCGGTTAGTCACACAGGGTTCTGAAGAGAAAGTTGGGCCGTGGACTACTCTATTCTACTGTGGGCTGTTGTGGCAATATTGGAAATTGCTGAACGTAAGTGAAAAGGCTAACGGGCAATCGATCGCCCCTAGCGATCACCCCCTCCTTCACGTGTTTTTTTTTTTTGACACCACATTACTTTTCTATTTTAATAAATTTATGCAACCTGTACACCTCAAGTTTACACATCTAAATTTTATACACCTAAAGTTTAGAGACTCAAAGTTTATATATCCGATTCAAATTTGAATTTGAATTCAAATATTTTTTATATACAGTATTTCTATACATCTAAATTTTATACACTTAAAGTTTAGAGATCCAAAGTTTATAAGTCAAAAATTTATATACCCGATTCAAATTTGAATTTAAATTCAAATATTTTTATATATAGTATTTCTATACATCTAAAATTTATACACCTAAAGTTTATAGGACAAAAATTTATAAGTCAAAAGTTTACATACCCGTTCCAAATTTGAATTTGAATTCAAATATTTTTATATATAGTATTTTCATACATAAATTTTTCTAACTTTATTTTCTTTTTTTTTAAAAAATTATGGTGTAGTATGAAGAGAAGAAGGGAAGGAGAAAGAGGGAGAGGAGTGTATAGCGGGGATGGGGGTGATCGCCGTCCTTTAGCCATGCCCGAAGGTAAGTGCATGACGATATTGCCATGGATGATTATTCGCAGTTTTCTACTCAAACTCCAATGTCATTTATACCGAGAATTCCACGAGCGATCCGACCTATGTGGTGAGAGAACTGACAACTTGACAGTAAGTAAACATTGAGTACCAAAGAGAAGTGCATGAATACAATAGTAACTCGAGGTTTTGCATATTGAAACTGATCAAAACATTGAAGAAAACTCGAGGTTTCAGATCTCAAGCCGCGCTTTTATCTCATCGATAACAGATGGGAAACCCTGCATAAGACGCAGGTAACCACCAGTGACTACCACCTTCCTGAAGTTGTTCTCTTCAACGAAGAAGTCGAGGCACCTGCTCTTCAGCTCCGGGCAGCTGTGCATCTCGGCACAGGCCAGAGTCTCCGCCACCGTCTCCACTGTCACGCTTTCCCACAGCTTCTGGGCGCACATCAGCTTCAGCCTGTCCAACGCAAACCTGTCCGCTGCCGCGAACAATTTCTTGAAAAACGAAGGAGATAGTATGTCTCTCGGTGGCAAAGCGTCCGTGTACACGAAGTGCAGGAGAGCTCTGAACGTCGCCGGCTCGATGTCGTGCAGCGTGACGCACGGCATGGTGCCCTCCGCCATGGAGCCGAGGAGCTCCGCGCTGAACACCGGCGAGCGCGCGGCGAGCACGGCGCGGTGCGCGCGGATGAGCGTCTCGCCGCCGACGGAGAAGGACACGTCGGAGCCGTCGGCGCTGCCCACCATGGCGGCGAGATGGCCGCCCAGGTTCGGCGGCGGCACGGCTATGGGGTGATGGCGATCGTCGCGCAGAATCACGAGGCCGAAGACGAACGTGACCACGCCGTCGATCGCGTGGAGCGAATCCACAGCACTTCGCTTCACGAAGCGATACCAGCCAACGAAGCGCCAGAATAATCGGTCGTTTTTCTCGACGCGCAAAAGGATTGCACGTCAATATATTAGAAGATAAGAATATTCATTACACAACGCATTAAGGTAGACCGACTTATGCCAAGAGAGAAGGGAAACAAAAGACCAAAGAAAAAAAGACTAAGAAAGTACGACTCAGAATAATCGGCCGTCGTCTTCGGTTTTGTTGGATGATTGGATCCTGATGATCTGCGTACACCTGTCTGCATGGTGCGAGGATGATGATGGTGCGCCATCTTTGCCCATCAGGAGAGCTTCGAAGATGACGCTGATTTTGGGGTCGTTCTTCATCCCCACGAAGAGAGAGATGTACTCGCCATTAATTGTCGCTCTTAAGCCCACGAGGGAAGAGCTGAATTTCGGCATTAAGCTCCCTGGCCGAGATTCTTATTCCGGGCAAATACTTGCCAATGGCAAGCTTCTGGGATTCGAGGTAGTCGAGTTTGTACTCGATGAAACCGGAGGCCAGCATGTTGCCGGCGGGCGGCGGCGTATGTTTGTTGCAAGGGGATGAACAGCTAGCTGACGGGAGAATTTAGGGCATGTTCAGATTGCTGCCAAAATAAACATTTCTAAAATTTGGCAATGCTAAAATTTTGACAAGTATGTTACTAAATTTCGGTAGAATCGATTATATATGTTAGCTAAACGATTTTGGTCTTTTTCTTGAATATATGGTAATTTAGTGTCCATTATGTTGTTTCTTAGTTGCCTTTTGCCTTTTACTATGTCTATTGGATTTTAATCCAAAGATTAAAAATCTATGTGATATGATTATAAAAATCTTTCGAAAGATGCATAGGTACTCCCACTGCTAAAACTCTTTAGGTATTACCAAAAGTAATAAACTAAAGGGGTAAGTCCATTTTACACCCCTCAACTCTTAACTTTGTCTAAAATACACCCTCAAAATACAAAACAGGATATTTGATACCCCTTAACTATCAATGCCGGACACTTTACCCCTTGAGTGGTATTGTGCTGGTTTTGGTACACGTGGAAGTCACAGGGCATGCCACCTGTACAAATGCTACATGTCAGGCCTATGGTTGGTTGTGGGAGAGGCGGCGAGATGTTGTGGCCTGCGACGCGCGCCGACGGCATGGGGACGGAACAGCGGCGAGCGGCTGCCATGTGCGTCAGTACATGTGCAGGTGCGGCTCAGGGAAGGAGCAGCGGCAAGGCGTCGATAGCAGTGCAGTGTGCGGGGGACAGAGCACAATGAGCACGGCCGTGGGCTTCATACCCACCTTGGCCCTAGAGCGCGGATCGGCTACAACGAGGTCGGCGTCGCTGAATCTGGCCACAAAGACTACAGAGAGCTCACCTACTGCTCATACACGCTACTGCATCCACTACTACTAGGGTATTCTTCTCCCATGACCATGATGCAAGTGCTAGCTGTAGAACAAAAGGAGTAATCACGAATCAAGAATGTATAGAGCTAGCAGCATATACAGTATAGCTTAAGGAAATAATGATTGATTATTTAGCTCTCCTTGCAAATCCTCCCCACCCCATCTCTGCAGGGCGGCGAGTTCCGATCTGGTAGGATGAAGAGAGAAGAGGGGAGGAAGAAGAAAGAGAAGGTAATGAGAATGAACGGTGGGTCCATCTTCTTTTCTGTTTATTTGTTGGTTGACCGGAGTGTCGGCTCATCGCCGCATGGGCAAAAACCACCTTCATCGGGAACGAAGAGGTGTAAATTAGACAGTTTTGAAAGTTGAGGGGTGAGTTATATTCGGTTTAAAAGTTAAATGTGAGTTTTAGATAATGCAATAGGTGAGGGGGGGCTAATGTGGACTTATCCCTAAACTAAATACATCCACATGTTTGCCGATTTTATCAAAAAATGATATGGTTCAAAATGACACCAATCTGAACGAGCTCTTATACTAGAGCTAGTATACTACACAGCATGCTGCATGCAGCGATATACTCGTAATAATAATCTAGTGTGTGTGCATGATTCCAAGTGCTATGGATAAGGCGATGCATTTCGAAGAAAAAAAATGAGAGGAAGAGACATCCCTCCAAACATTTTTTAAGAAGAAATTATGAGCGTGTTCGGAACACAGAACCTTAGAGTTGAAACCACACAACTCTTGCCACTACACTATCAAGTGCATCTCAACTCTATAGAAGCCATTCATTCATCTGCATCTGCCGTTAGCGGTGCATTTGAATTTTGTTTGAATGTGTGATCTGGAATTTGGATGAATTAGAGCTAGCTTTTCCTCGCAGAATTAGTTTTTTTTGGTGAATTTGGGTAGATTTAGTGTAGAATTATGATTTTTGATGTGTTAGAAATGATTTGTATCAGGTTCTGTGAAGAAACAGTACAATTTTCAGCTGCTTCAAAGCAAACTTTCAATTCTGAAAACTGAATTGTTTCCGATGTGCGGCGTTCAGCTGTCACTTTACTACGTGAACGTTGTTCTTCTAGGGTAAAATTACCAGAGATCGAGATGAAAGGAGACTGCCATGGATTTGCCGCTTACCAGCTTTAAGAGACTTCAACATCCAAGAACAAGTATATCTATGATAATAACATGGCAAAATATTATAAATACAATTTATATCAAACTTAACTGCTCTCTTGCGCTATATATTTCAGGTCTCAACTCTCAAGCTATGCATTTATCTCGTCAATCACTAGTGGAAAACTCTGCCTAAGATAAAAGTAACGTCGTCGGTGACCACTCCCTTTCTGAAGTTACTCTCTTCCATGAAGAAGTCGAGGCACCTGGCTTTGAGCTCCGTGTAGTTGTGCATCTTGTTGCAAGCCAAAGTTATCGCGACGGTCTCCACCGATACACTCTCCTATGGCTTTAGAGCGCACACATGATCTTTAGTCTATCGAGCATGTATATTTGTCAGATGCTACTACCAAACTCTCAAACAATTTAGTCCTCGTCATTGTAGGCGCCGAAGAGGCTCCGGGTGACAAGGCGTCAATGTACACGACATGCAACAGAGCTCTAAGAGCAAGGATAATAATTGGCCATAAGCCAACTATAAACTTATGTGGAAGAGAGATAAATAAAATTGAGAAGGGTTGGCTCTTATGCAAAAGCCAGCTATGAACACGCTCCAAAATATTTACTACATTAAATTCATAGTGAGAGAAAGAGGGAGAAGAGAAAAGGTAGAGCCAACCTTATACTTAACTTATTAGAAATGTTACCTATAATATGGACTAATAGCCAATAGTCAACTATACTAGTAGAGTGTGGAGGATGGATGCCCCCACTTTTATCCATGATTCTGTAATCCGTTCAATGAAATACCCAAAGAACAATTCACTATATCAAGATATAATAAAAGAACAATTCACTATATCAAGATAACATGATCTCTTGTGCAACACTGCTACCTATTTCAAGTCTCAAGCCTGGAGCCGTGCCTTTATCTCGTTGATCACTAACGGGAAGCTCTGCATAAAGATGCAGGTAGTCATCTGTCACCGCTGCCTTCTTGAAGTTGCTGTCCTTCATGAGGAAGTCGATGCATCTAGTTTTGAGCTCCGTGCAGCTGTGCATCTCCGCGCAAGCCAGAGTCGCCGCGACGGTCTCCGCCGACACGATCTCCCATAGCTTCTGAGTGCATCCGCAATGGTTATCTATAGACTCTCTACAAGAGATCTATGTCAGCATATTTTTCTACTTGGAAGAGATTAAATGAAGAGAGAGCAAAACTATCTATTAGCCTAGAGATAGTCTATAGAGAAAAACGAAACAATGGATTAGAGAGCTATAGATACCCATGTAGACATATTATTAGAGCACCCGCAATGGTAAAGTAAGGTGCTATCTATAAAACATGTACATCTCAGCAATAGACTAGAATAATAGTAAACCATCTCAATAGTATGTCTACATGGGTATCTATAGCTCTCTAATACATTGCCTCGTTTTTCTCTATAGACTATCTCCAGGTTAGTAGATAGCTTTGCTCTCTCTCTTCATTTAATCTCTTCTAAGTAGGAAAATATGCTGACATGGATCTCTTATAGAGAGCCTATAGATAACCATTGTGGGTGCCCTTAAAGTGGTTTACTATTAATCTAGTCTATTGCTGAGATGCACATGTTTTATAGAGAACAACTTCCTTTATCATTGTGGGTGCTCTGAGCGCACATGAGCTTCAGCCTATCGAGCGCGTATCTGTCCGCCGCCGCTAGCAATCCTCGGAAGAACTCAACCGCCGCCGCCGCCGTCGAAGACGACGTGGAGCTCGCTGGCAAGGCGTCGGTGTAGACTAAGTGCAGTAGAGCTCTGAACGTCGCCGGCTCGATGTCGTGCAGCGTGACGCACGGCATGGTGGCCTCCGCCATGGAGCCGAGGAGCTCCGCCCTGAACACCGGCGACCGCGCGGCGAGCACGGCGCGGTGCGCGTGGATGAGCGTCTCGCCGCCGACGGAGAAGGACACGTCCGAGCCGTCGGGGCAGCCCAACCATGCCGGCGAGATGCGCGGCCAGGTTGGGGGGCGGCACGGCTATGCACGGCCGCCACCGCCGGCGATCGTCGCCGTCGTCGTCGCGCAGGACGACGAGGCCGCACACGAACGTCGCCACGCCGTCGACCACGTGGGACGACTCGAGGTCGCCCCGCCTGATGAAGCGGTGCCACCCCATGACGCGCGTGCCGCCGGCCTCGCCGACGACCGACCTCCGTGCTCCTCCTCGCGTGCTGCGGCGACGGCGCGCCATGCTTGTCCGTCAAGAAGACCTCGAAGACGGCGGCGTCGATCCGGGGGTCATCGTCGTCGACGTCATCGATGAACATGAAGATCGAGACGTGCTCGCCATGGCCACCCTCGATCCCACGCGGGTAGAGACGGATCCGCGCATGGTGCTCCCCGGCCGAGACCTTCGTTTCTGGCAACGAATCGTCGATGGCGATCTTCTCGGATTCCAGATAGTCGAGCTTGCACTCGACGAAACCGGAGGCCAGCATGTTCGTGTTGCACGTATGGCGATCGATCGATTGATCTATCGATGAACAGGGCACGCTCAAGGGAAAATTGATTCGTCGGTCGATATGATCTAACTAAACCGATTTCAATGTGGATAAGTTTGATTAAGGTTCCGTTCTTTTCTCCAACAATCATATATTAATCTATTTTTCAAGTTTGTAATAATTAAAACTCAATCAATCATATATTAATATCACCTCATTTTACATAAAAAAAACTTAATTTTCATCTTCATTTTCGTCTTTAAGAGCATCTCCAATAGATGACTAAAATTAAACTCCCAAAAATCCTGTATTGGGGACAGCCAAAAACATATTTAGCCTAAAATACACCCTCTTCTCCAATAGATGACTAAAATTTGGTTCCCAAAAATTTAAAATTTTTCCACATCATCATTAGTGGGCCCTTCCCAACTAATTTTCTACCTGCTCGTTAAAATCACAGGCGAGAGCGGAGGGGGAGATCGCGTCGCGCGTGAGAGGCGAGGAGGAGATCGCGGCGTGCGGATGCGGAGGGGAATGGGCATGGTCGACGCGACGCACGCGGACGGAAGGAGATGGCTGCTCATCCTAGTCGCGCGCGAGATCGCAACTGATACCGTTGGCGAGGTTATATATCAGACGCAGCGATATACGAAATTGATCGAAGGACACAGTGCTATAGACGCACATAGAGCTCTTCCTCTGTCAGCGCCGGCGGCGTTAGCACTTCACTCAATCAGAGCTCTTCCTCTGTCAGGGCCGGCGACGTTAGCACCTCACTTAATCAGGCAACTGCAGCAAGCAGCAACGATTGGTGACAGGCACAAGCTCTTGTGCAGTGCGTGAGTAGCAAAATTTTGCTAGCAACCATGTTTTTTACTTTGTTCTATTTCCTTTTTTTATGTTTCTGATCTGACAATGTCTTGATGGAAAAAAAAACTTAATTTGATATGATGAATAAATATTTGGAAAAACGGAAGGCCAATCACATTTTTTTTTAATTTGATCTGACAACGTCGCAAGGGGAAAAACTTAATTTATTGTGATGAATAATGGTTTGGCAGTTGATTTGATCCAAGATGAGTCGACCTCGCTCCTCGTTTCAACAGCTCGTGGATGAATCATCGTCTGACGATGACGATGATTTTTTTTTGCCACGGCACAAATCGTCCATAGCTATTGGCACTCTGTCAATGCACCAAGACATGGTGGGTCAGTCATGGGACATGAAGTGATTGATCGCAACAGAGAAGCACGGCACTTGAGATTATACCAAGACTACTTTTCCGATAATCCTACCTATGGCCCAGTTTTATTCAGGCGCAGGTTTGTATAAGTAAATTTTATATAATTTATTTTTGTTATATGCATAGATATGCATGTCTCATTAGTTATGATTCGCAGGAATAGAATGAGCAGGCCTCTGTTTCTCCGCATAATGAATGCAGTAGAGGATCACGATGACTATTTTGTGCAGAAGAGAAATGCAGCTGGTTTAATTGGGTTCAGTTGTCACCAAAAGGTCACTGCAGCAATGCGTCAGTTGGCTTATGGTATAGCAGCAGATGCTTTGGATGAATATCTCGGTATTGCAGAAAGTACCGCTATAGAGAGCCTGAGAAGGTTTGTGAAAGCAGTTGTACAAGTTTTTGAACATGAATACTTAAGATCACCCAATGAGAACGATACAACTCGATTACTTGAACTTGGGGAGGACAGAGGTTTCCCCGGTATGTTAGGCTCCATAGATTGCATGCATTGGAAGTGGAAGAACTGCCCTACAGAATTGCACGGTATGTACCAAGGGCACGTGCACGAGCCTACAATAATTTTAGAAGCCGTTGCTTCAAAGGATCTCTGGATTTGGCACGCTTTTTTTGGTATGCCTGGGTCTCATAACGATATCAATGTACTTCATCGATCCCCGCTATTTGCAAAGCTAGCTGAAGGCAAGGCTCCTGAAGTGAACTATAGTATAAATGGACACGATTATATGATGGGATATTATCTTGCTGATGGCATATATCCTTCTTGGGCCACATTTGTGAAGACCATACCAGAACCACATGGCAACAAGAGGAAATATTTTGCCAAAGCACAGGAAGCAGTAAGGAAGGATGTCGAACGAGCTTTTGGGGTTCTGCAAGCTCGATTTGCCATTGTTCGAGGGCCAGCTCGACATTGGGATGAAAAGACTCTGGGATACATCATGAAAGCTTGTGTTATCATGCATAACATGATTATTGAAGATGAGGGAGAAGTTGATTGGGAAGAACGGTTCCCAGAGGGAGGAGAAAATGTCAGAGTGTCCCACGATGAAATACCTGATCTTGATAATTTTATCCAGATGCACAAAAAAATAAGGGACGACGAAACTCACTATCAGCTACGTGAAGACCTAGTGGAGCACTTGTGGCAACATTATCTTGATAAATATTGAGGTTTTATTTATATGTTTGAATTCCATGTAATAAATAGTATACATATGTGAGGATTTGCAAAATCATTTTAATTTGTTCTTCATGTATTGAATAAATGGTGTACTGTTCGGTTTAAGAATAGTACAGGAGAATTAATAAAAGTGCACTTCCTTTATGCATTTTGTTGAATATGTCGGCTGGCAGTGATAAATGTGTCATGTGGTCTTCCTGTCAATCATGAAAAGCCACAGATGAGGTAGAGGCCCCAGAAGCTTTTCAATCATGCCAGGAAACAATCAAACATCAGGCTCTCAGTGAGAGACAATACAGATTACCACAGGTCAATAGCAACATCAGGCTCTCATAAAGTCTGATTCATTACACAGACTAACACCAAGGGCATGATAAGGGAAGTACCCATCTACTAACACCAACTTCGGACAAAACAAAAAGACACAATTCTGAATATAAATAGTTTGCATTGCAGACTTAGTAAACCTAGATAAATTTCTAACAAACCACTGATCTAAACTGCAGCTACGATTGCCATCTCTTTCCCTCCCATTCTCTGATCTGGTCACAATTTGTTCAGTTGCTTCTTCACATGTACGAAGGTCTCAGCGAGGTGGCTTCCCTGTTGATAGCAATAAGATGGAGTTCGAATTAACCATAATACATGTACAGAGTATAGAGCTGCCAAGTTTTCTAGTCTATTTTAATTAGTAATGTACAATATTTGAAGCTACCTATATGTTTGTACTGTAAACAATAATTGAAGCTAGCTAGTACTGCAAGTGATTTTTTTGACTGATCACTGTCGAAAATATGGATTCAGTAACCTATCATTCAAACTGAAATTGAATATGCACTCACATGGATCAGTTGATCATGCAGCAAGGTATTTGATCTTCGGCTCTTCGGTCTCTGTAGGTTCATTATCTTCATCAACATGATTGGTAGTATCATCATTTGTGGGTATAGCTTTTTCCAAACCATCTGTGCTTGCCTTCTGTTTTTTGGTGGCATAGGGTTTTTGGGATGTTATTTGCTTCATCTTATCATGCCACTTGGATTGTGACCTCAAGAGAGTCCAACAGTGCAGGAATTGGAAGGGCTTATCTTCCAACTCCTTAAATACAGCAATGGCCTGAGCAATCTGCACATGTCAAGTCAAGTGAATGTGGTTAGCAAACATCATATCTTTTATTTATAAACTAACATAAAAACACAAGCTACATAACTATGTAGTACCTTGTCGTGTATACTAACCCCGCTTTGTCTTCTACCCTCAATCTGGCTCAGATATCCACAAAACTTGTTGACATTCTCTTGTATAGTTTTCCAACGATGCATAAGTGAATTCTGGCTGCGATCTGGTGTGGATTTACTCGTTTTGTATAAGTGCTCGTATATTCTAGTCCAATATGCAGCACGAGTTTGATTTGTGCCTAGCTCTGGATCCAAACTTACATGCAACCACGCCGACACAAGTATCTTATCTTCTTGTTCACTAAAATTCTTCGATCTTTTTTGATTTGATCTAGCCACGGTAGTCCTCTCAATAGTGGGGAACTGCTGCGTGACAGGCTCGCTACTCATGCCATTCTCATCAAGCTGGTTACTCATATCATCCTCCACAGGCATCGTACTCAAACTATCCCAATCTAAGGAATCGTTCCCCTCATTCATCAAATTAGTATAGAATCCTTCTTCTTCCATTATCAGTAGGACCTACAAGCAATTATCTCCATCATGTATGTTAAATGGAAGATGATTATTTTGTTTACATGTCTATCTAAGCAATGCAATGTTGTCTGTCTGCCTAAAAAAACAAGATGATAGATGCTATTCAGATTTTTCGTTTGATATAATATTTTAGATTTGTAGACAGCAGCCTTTCAGGTGGTGTGCTGACTTAAGTGCACATGCACCATGGCAGATAGCATGCCACACCTGAAGATCTAAAATATACTAACATTGTTCAAAAAAATTTCGACCTTAATTTTGACCTTAATCATGATAGAAGTAAAAGTGGGCACAAGCATATGACACACAACAGATGGAACTGGTCAATGGAAACATACCTCAGATTAGGCCTCAGTGCAGTGTGATACTGACTTTTATGAATACAACATTCAAAGCAAAGCAGTTCAGTGAAAAAAAAACTTAACTATAGCAGTTTAGGGAAAAAAAAACTTATACTAGTTCAGGGGAAAAAACCTCAACTATACCAGTAAAGAAATAAAATCTTCAGTAGAATATGAAACTAGCATGTCCCATTTGTCTTCTTGAATAAAATAGTTTTAGTACAATTAAGTGGACTTCAATAGAACTTTAGGGTGAGAAGAATATGGTCTGTTAGCAACTTGTGAAGACTATTTTGGACATATTCATCTAAGACTTGTATCAACGAAAACAAAGAAATACACATAAGGACCTTGTCAGTACTAGGATATCAATGGGGATAATATCAGTGAGTCAACCTCAATTGAACACAAAGAGAGTTAGATCCATGGAGAGAAGCAGAAAATAAATGAGTTGTTACTCTGAAATTACCTCAAACAAATCCAGTAGCAACTCACGTCGTTGAGAGGCGAGGTGGACGAAGGGGCACAGACTGCCGACGGTCCCTGGATTGACAGTCGATGGTGACTTGGACGGAGGCCGCTAGCGCTCTGGACGGAGGGGCGGCAGCGACCTAGATGGGCTGCCGGCGGCGCCCTGGACGGAGGGCCGGCGACGCCTTGGAGAACCTGCGGCGTCCCGGACGGACGGACGGCTGGCGGCGCCCTGAACGGAGTTGGCGCGAGGAGAGGAAGCTGGTGCGAGGAGGGGAAGAAAGGCGCGGCTCCTCCCGGCGAACGAAGAGACGGTGGTTGAGGGAAAGCGCGGGCGAGGAAAAAAATTGGCGCCAGGAAAAGAAAAAACGGCGCGGGCAGGAACGATTGCTTCGATTGGGAGCGCTTCTAGTTGCCCAATATTTGGTTCAGGTTGGTCCTGGTTTTGGAGGTGGCTAAATTTTGGGACCATGTTTAGGAGTTTGTTGGAGGGCTGATTTTCACCAAATTCCTAAAATTTATGTTTTAGTAACCTGTTTAGCATTCTCTTGGAGATGCCCTAACTGTTGGAGTACGTATACATCACGGTCAGTTGGGCCATGAAGTGCAAAATCCCTAATTGGCTAACGTGCTAGCGGGCCTTACCAATTTACGATTTTCTATTAGAGTAAGTCTACTTGTACTCCCTCAAATATATGTCCATTTTGATTCCTATCCCGTAACAGTAATACCAGATATATTGATCCCTCCAACTATTAAAACCGGTGTAACAGAATCTTGTATTTGGGTTTAACTTTTGTACCTTTTGCATTGGAGTGTGCGTTTTTGTATTATAATGTGTGCATCTCTTAATTGTTTGCAGTCAGTTGTTAAAATGTGGCGAATGGTTTAACCTTAAGAAGACAGGAGCGAGTACTCTTTAACCGCGTTCTGGCCGGATAATAGTTGTAATCTCACATCTCTAGATGTGGATGTTTTTAGTGAGTAATATATCTCTTTTTTCCAAAAACAAAAGTGGCGAATGGTTGAACCGAAGCAATTTCCTGTCTATGTTATTTCTGGCCTGAACTTGTTTTAGCACAAAGCATACCATTTATGGGACTTTCTGGGACGTTTAATTATTTACCATTTTTAAGATGCGCCAATTAAAGATTTGTCACTTGCTATCTATGACATGTGGGTCCTCATGTGTCTATGATATGTGGGTCCACTAACAAATTCTTTAGAACCACCCATAAGAGTGGCAAATAGTTAATTATGCCCCTGATTCCTCAATGAGTTAACTCTATGGTTTATCTTGGCATGTGGATTGAATGTTTTTAAGCTGTAGGAGTATTTCTTTGTTGTTTCATTAATTACACAAAAAAATATTGTCCCATTATTACTGGCCTTATTCAGTAACATCTTACATAATGTTTGCTAAATATCTGTTTGATGTTTTTATTAGAAAATAGGATAAACCTGGCTTCACAGCTAACCTGTTTGGTGTTAAGGCACTACCTCCGTCCCAGAATATAAGGAGTTTTAGAGTTAGACACAGTTATGAAGAAAATATGTAAAATTAAATTGTGGAAGAGATTGTGATTGGTAGGGTGCGTTCGGTCTGACCGAAAAATTCGGTCTCGGTCTTCGGTCTTTCGGTTATTTCAGTCTTTGAAAAATGAGGACCGAATTTCTTCCCAAAAAAACTCAGGACCGACAAATTCAGTCTCGGTCTCGGTCTAACCGAATTTTGACAGACTGGGGACTGGCTAGAGATGGAGGCGGCGCGATGGCGGCGTTGAGGCAGAGGCAGGCTCGCGGAGGCAGCGTGATGGAGGCGGAGGGTGGAGACGGCCCGGGCGCGATGGAGGTTGAGGATGGACTGGCGGAGGCGGCGCGATGGAGGCAGAGGGTGGAGGCAGCGCCGGCGTGATGGAAGTCGAGGACGGACCAGCGGAGGCGCCGCTGAAGCCGCCGTGGACGAGCTGCTGCTGCTACTCACCGACTGCCTTACCTCCGACCAAATCTGGGAGAGAGAGGGGAGGGTAGTGGGGACCCACTGCCTCCTCCATTGTTGCCGCTGCAAGCGGCCTCCTCCCCACTGGCCATATCTGGAAGAGGTAGAGGAGGAGAGGAGAGTTGGGGAGCCATTGTTGGTGCCCCCTCTACTGCTTCCGTCGTCGCCGATCTCCTCCCATCCCGCCACTGGATCCGCCTCCCATCGCCATCGCCTTTCTCCTGCAACACTGCCGATGCCACCTAGATCTAACCTTCCCATAGGTGGTCTGGGGTCGCGCCACCAATCTGCAACCCCTGAGCGGTCATTGTCACCGTTGCCTTCCCGAGCTCCCACCCTCGTCGTGGTCATTGTCGAGCTTGTTGCCGCTCTTTTGCCAAGGCGTGAGGACGGCGAGGAGCATAAGTGTGCCACCAAGAAAGAGATCGAGAGAGGAGGGATTTGCACTGGTGAGAGAGAGAGAGAGAGAGAGCGGGGGGGGGGGGGAGGATGAGATTGAGAAATGAATGGTGAGGGATGGCTTGTATCACGACACTTTGAATATGCTACAGTTGTCGACCGTGCCATGCTGGTCGCTAGTTTTTGCAGGCGGTCCCTTAAGTACACCACTTGTAAAAATATCCTTATTATTCCATGCAACCCTCTTTAATCTACCGTTTGTCAAAATCTATTCTTGCAGACGGGGCTAAAACTAGGGCCTCTAGTTATTTTTACAAGCGTAAATTGTTCTTCTGAAAAAAAAATCAAACCTAGGTGTTGTGAAAAATTGTTTTTCTAGTAGTGGAGGTATGAGATGATGTGTCACTCATCCGGAAGCTTCTCATAGCAAATCAACATGAAAGTGATGTACAACTGTTGTTAAGTGGTGGCTATAAAAATAAAAGGGCAATTTGGGGGTTTCCCATGGGGGTAACCTTCTGTATTTTGCCTATAAATATAGAGCTAAGTCTAGTGTTTAATAAGGTGTATAGCGAGAGAATCTTTGTGAGGAAAAATTGTGAGAAACTGAGATTGGCTTGGTCAATGCAATTTTACTTGTGATAGTTCAAATTCACATTTAATTTTTTTGTCCTTGTTTACCCGAAAATAATAGGAGAAACTCCTATTGTATTTTACACTAAAAGAGATAATATTTACAAGCATCACATTCATATTTCACAAGCAGCATATATCTCTCCATGACTTCAGCTAAGCATGCATGCTACAATTTGTTACTATCCATAATAAATTGAGTCGCTGAAGTAATAACATTTATCTCGTGGGACAACTACATCTGCAAGCTTCATGGTAACCTCCGATCTAGATAGACAAAGACCGAGCCCAATCAAAATCGACAAGAAGCATAAAAAACTCAACAACAAACACTAGATTGAATATGTTGAATGCTAAAAAGAATCTAATAAACACTAGATTGATTATGTTGAATGCTAAAAAGAATCTAATGCAGGAATCCTTCTTCTATCTTCAGTTCAAATAAGGCAGCACACAACTTTTATTGAAAAAAAAGAAATGCAAATATAAACCACCAGTTAGTGAATTTGTTTCAAAATCTCATCATACAAAGCAGAACCACACAAACATTCTCCAAAATATCAATCCACCTTCTCTAGAATCTCACATCCCACATTGTAGTTACATAAGCAGAAGTGTTGTTTCAATGGTACCATTTCACCATCTAACATAAAGAACTAGAGCATTTTTATACAAGCAGGTGTTACTGACAAATCATACAAAACTAGGTACGATGCTTCCTGAAAACACTCCCTAAACAAGACAACTAACCAGAGAAAGTTATCTATCAAAAAGAGCTACCATGTGATGTCAAGGTTGTTAAGGAGCATATTTATCTCCTTTTAACACCGATGGGGAGTCAATGTAACCCTCCCTCCGTGGCTACAATCTTCCTACAGTTGTTGTCCTCCAAGAAGTATTCAAAGCATTTCTTCTTTAATGCAATGCAATTGTACGTATCAGCGCACCAGAGTGGCTGCAAATGATTCATCCGTCATCCTTTCCCATAGATTCTGGGTGCAAATGAGCTTCAATATATCCAGAGCAAACCTATCTGCTGCTGCCAACAAACTTTCGAAGAATTCACTTGTCGTCTCTCATAGCAGCAAGGCGTCGATGTATATGAAATGCAATAGTGCTCTGAACGTCGCCAGCTCCAGGTCATCCAGCATGACGCACGGGATGGAACTCTTTGCCATTCCACAAAAAAAAAAAACTCTGCATGGAACATCGGGGAACGCGCGGCGAGCACAGCCCGGTGCGCATGAAACATCTCGCTGCCAACAGAGAAGGAGATGTCCGAGCCATTGGCGCTGCCCACCATGATGCCGAGTTGGTTCCCCAGGTTGGAAGGTGGCACTGCAATAGGTTCGTTGTGGTTGCGCAGAATGATGAGGCCACATATGAATGTAACCACATAGCGAGAGTCAAGTTCACTCAGCTTGACGAAGCGCCACCAGGCATCAAAGCGGAAGCCCTGGGATGCCTTGCTTACCAGCAGACTCCTCTGGGAATGTTGCACGGCTGGTAAACCATCCTTGCCCATGAAGAAGATCTCAAAGATGAGGTGGGTGTTGGCGTCGGTCTCATTCAGCATCGCCACCGCGAGAGAGAGGTACTCGCCATTGTCTTGTTGACGCGGAGACAGCCACCACAGAAGACATGCATTGTGCTCCCCCGCTGAGATTGTTAGCTTTGGCAGTCTCTATCCGACAGCGAGCTTCTGGATTTCTAGGTATTCCACCTTGTGCTCGATGAAATTGGAGACGAGATCCATCACACATGGCTGGGTGGGGACGCCGAAGGCTGGGGTGGGAGATCGGGAGATGAGGATAGTGACGGGACAGCGTCGGAGGCTGGGAATGCTTCTCGTTGGAGAGCGTAGGAGCCGGGGGGGGGGGCAGCCGTGCGAGCCGCCGAAGACGAGGGAGGAGAGGTGGGGTGGGGAAATTTCGCTGGAGATGAAGAAGAGGAGTAGCGGAGGAGGTGGGGGTTGGGGAGTACGGATGGCCTCGTCGGCACGGTGCCGGCGGCGCGCGCGAGGGTTGGGGGATGGAGCGGCCGCGATACACATGTGCCGGGTGGACCACTTGAACGGCTCCGACGTGTTCTTCTTCGTCGGTGGCGAGACGTTCCATGCGCACCGGGCCCTGCTTGCCGTGTGCTCGCCGGTCTTCAAGGCTCTGCTCCTTAGCTCCACGGCGGAGGCAGCAGCCTGCAGCATCACCCTGAACGACATCAAGCCAGCGATGTTCGAAGCTTTGCTGCACTTCATGTACACCGGCGACTTCCTGCCAGCGGGAGCCCACTCGTCGTCGCCTGACAGCAGCGACACCAACACCGACACGCTCCACCGGCTGCTCGCGGCGGCGCACGAGTATAAGCTCGACAGGCTGAAGCTCATGTGCGCCCGAAAACTCGAGGAGAGCTTGTCGGTGGAGACGGTGGCGAGGACACTGGGCTATGCCAAGATGTGCGGCTGCTCGGAGTTGAAGAGCAAGTGTCTCGACTTACTTCTTCTTGGCGAAGAAGAACATCAAAGCATTGGCCACACATGGCTACTTCTGGCTCTGGCATAACTTCCCTTCGGTCATCCAAGAGATTAAAGTGTTCTGGTCGCTTGAGCGTTTACAGATATAGATAGATACTCCCTCCGTCCCAAAAAAAACCCAACCTAGGATGGGATGGGACACATTCTAGTACAATGTATCTGGACATATGTCTGTCCACATACGTTGTACTAGAATATCTCCCATCCCATCCTAGGTTGGGTTTTTTTTGGATGGAGGGAGTACTTGTTAACATCTCATTCTTATACAAGAAGCCAGAGATCTTCTTGTTCTATTTTGGGAGTGGATTTTTATCCCTCGAGGGGATATCCCTTTGTTGTTTGCCTGTCACCCAAATAGTTATAAATTTGAAAAAAAAAGAAGATATATTAACATGTGATATATCGCTCCACAAATATGCAAATTCAAATTCAATTTCTACACGAAGTTGAATTTGAACTTACATGCTTGTAGAGTGATATACCACATTCTAATACATCTTCTCAAATTTTTTCAAATTTTTTCATAATCATTTAGGTGACATGCAAACAAGGATGATATATAATATACTTCGTTCCTATAAAAGATCTATCGTTATAGATTCTCCTCCACATCTCTGAACTTCATGCCATCACCTTTTTTTTTTTTTGGAAACCCATGCCATCACCTTGGACATGCTGAAATCATACACCTGTTACCCCGTAAACGCACAGTAAACTACACAGAAATATACAGTCGGAGCAATGCCTGAATGCCATTTTCAGTAACACAAATACAACCAACGAATCACAGAAGAAGAAGAACAGCAAGGTGACCAGCAGCTCATTGATGTTCAGGACAGCAGAGTTGCAGATGTACCTCCCGGCTGCACGGGGTGTCTCGTAGAGCAGGATGCGGCAGCTCGCGACGTCGTCCATGTGGACGTACACCATCCTCCCGTACATGGTGAATTTCGTTCTCACCTGCAGTGCGATTTCATGGACATTAAGAGTCAGAGACTTGAAAGCGGAGAGCATAAATGTAGAAGTGTTTCTGAAAGATTGCGCTCCATTGAAATGCACGAATTTCATTCATATGAGGTAGTTCATGATCAGAGAACATTCTCTGCATTTCGGGTGGTGTTTTGCGTACCATGGAATAGGCCTAGGACGATATCGGTGGTAGCGGGGCTTAATTCATGGAGAAAATCCCCTGTGTACACTTAAAAGTTCACCTAATCCTTTGTGTACCCCTGAATTTTGCTCAATCCCTTACATACCCCTGAATTTTAGTTTGGATCCCTTCCATACCCTTTCCGCTAGTTGACCGTTAGTTGACCGTTAAATTCTTATGAAAAAGTCCATTTTGCCCTTTGGTATAAAGAAGCATATAAATTAATAGAGTATATTGTTGGAGAATAGAAATTTGTTATATGAGACTATTATGTTTATGAGATAGTTATGCACCATACTATTTGCGATAAATATACTTTTAAATATGACATAAAAAATTAATACTTATTTATTAGTTATTAAAAGATTTTTTTAGCATATGTGTTCTGAAGTAATAAACAAATCTGTTGTATTACTATGAAAACACATATGCTACATAAAAGAACTTTTAATAACTAATAAATAAGTATCAAATTTTTATATCATATGTAAAAGTAAATTTGTCACAAATAATATGGTGCATCACATACTCATAAATATAATAGTCTCATCCAATAAATTTTTACATTTCAACAATATACTTCATTAATTTATTATGTTTCTTCATAGCAAAGGGCAAAATGGACTTTTTTAAAAGAATTTAACGGTCAACTAACGGTCAACTAGCGGAAAGGGCATGGAAGGGATCCAAACTAAAATTCAGGGGTATGTAAGGGATTGAGCAAAATTCAGAGGTATAGAAGGGATTAGGTGAACTTTCATGGATAAATAGGGGATTTTCTCTTAATTCATGACACACCAACATAAGTTTGGACACTTCATTCTTAAGACAACCACCAATCAGTTCTCAAAATAAATTTATTACCCCTATCTCTATATGTATACATCTTTCTCCTTCTTACTACTTGTACCATAAGTTTATTCACTCTCTAGTCCCTAAATTGTTTATCGGTTCTCGCCTTTTCGGTGTTTGAGGATATGCTAATTGGCTTATCGAACCTAGGACAAATCGACGTGTGTTCACCATAACGGGTTTTTTTTTCGAGTGTTCGTTCGATGATATCTATCTTTTTTGCGGCGATGGGTTTTCAGATGCCGCTGTGGGTTGCACGCAAGATGTTTAAGGTGTGGCGGCATAATTTAGTGTCAACACCCTGGTCATTAGGGGAGCCTAATTTATGGCAAAACCATGATATTCTTTTGGAGTAAGAGAAGGCATATAGGCACAACACATTATGAGTGAGTGTTTGAGTAAAGATGATTAGAGGTAAAACGATGTGGGATTAATTAATTTAAACTAAAAATAGATTAATAAGTTTTTTTAAAGTAACTTTTGTATATAATTTTCTAAAAAAAAGACCCTTTAGAAGTTCAGAAATTGTGGGCGTGAAAAACAAGATATTTTCCAATCTTCTTAAAATGATGCTCCCTAGGTAGACGAATTCATAAGACATGAGTTACTGCACATAATATACATCTTGGACTGGGCTTCAGCCCATATGCACCAAAGTCTCAAATCCCCCAAATTCGTAGCAAATTCGGCATTCCAAATTCTAATTTGAATAATATGTAAACTATTTGAGAAATACGTTAATACGGTACTCGCGTAGAAATACTGCACATGATCGTCGTGCTCTACTTTACACGTCTGGATCGTTTGGCATTTTCTAAACAAATTCTCGCCGAAAAGAGGAGAGATCACGCAGAAAGTTCATCCTCTAATCCATCCCTTTTTCTCTCCATTCTCTTCTCTAATCCTCCTCTTCTCCTCGCTGCAACGCGACAAATCGAACAGATCAACCCAAATTTTGATCATCTTAAAATTCTAAATTGATCTAAGCAGTGGCATCCATTGCTACTCCTCTTCCCACTCCACCCTCTTCTCGTCTTCGTCTTCTTCCCCGACACGTCACCTCGCCGCCGATGGAGTCCCACGACGGCGGCGGCGGCGGCGGCGGCGATGGGGACTCGCTCTTCGAGGGGATGGTCCTCTTCACCCCGTCCCTCTCCGTCGATCCCGATCCCGCGCCGCCCGTCGCCGAGGCCCCCGACCCCAAGCCGCCCACCCCTCGCGACGATGCCGCCGTCGCCGGAGCTGACGGGGCGGCCTCCCAGCAGCAGCCGCCGCCGCCTCTGGATGAGGACCTGTTCTCCGATCTCACCCTCCTGTCCCCGCAGTCCCCCGTCGACCTGAGCGGCGCCCACCAAGGTCAAGATCAGGACCACTCCGCCGCCGCGCCCCCCTCGCCGGTGCCGGCTCCGGCTGCACCCGTCGCCGTTCTGGCCCGGCAGGCGTCCTCCTCGGCCTCCTCGTCGCTCCGCAAGAAGAAGAGGGCCGTGCGCATCGGGTATGGCCGCTCGCCTCAACCCGCGCCTCCTTCCCCTCCTGCCGTTGCAATTGCTGCTACGACCGCCACCGCAGCTGCTACCGCTAGTGTAATCCATGGCAGCGTCCTCCCCGATGCTTCGATGCATCATCAATCCGCTCCGACCATCCCAGTCCACCACCTCGAACACCTTGATAATGGCGTTGAGCAGGCTGCAGCGGTAGCGGTGGTGGATCCGGATGAGAATTCTCTTCATGTGAAAGAAGAGGATGGTGAATTGGAGGAGGATGGAGGTGCTGGGGCTGAAGCAATGGGGATTGAGGAGAGATTGGCTCTTCTTAGATCCCAAATCTCCGGCAAGCTCGAGTCTATCCAGCAGAGAGCCACTGCTGTGGCTGCCAAGAGGAGGCAGTTGGCTGGTAGGCGGCGAAAGGTTGCGGAGGACGTGGGCTCTGCGGCATCCAGGCACAAGGATTTGGAGAGGGAGCTTGAAGAGGCGTGCGAGGCCGAGGACTTTGAGAGGGCCGAGAAGATCAGCGACTCCCTTGCGGCATTGGAGAAGGACAAGGATCGGTTGTTGACAGCGCTGCGTGATGCGGAGCTCAATTATGATTCGGTGGATTTGGAATTGCAGGATGTGCTGGATTCCCGCATTGCCGCAGAGGAGGAAGCTGCTTCACTCCTGGAGCATTTTGCAAAGGTAATTTAGCTGAATTTCTTCTTACGCACTTTGCATGAGACTCTGAGGTCTGGACTCTTGACAAGATATGTACTTCCTGGAATCCAGGCTCCCCTGCAAGCAACCATTGCTTGGAAACCGATACCAAACCTGAAGTTTCCCTACTTGAACTCTAATATTTTCAAATAGCTATTCAAGCATGACCTAATTCTAAGTGCTTAGTAATGAATCATTGCAGAATACATTTTAAACGCATGGTCCAATAAGGCAATAAGGCTTCATTTTCCAGATATCCTAGTCTATGCTGAATATTTTGGCCACTATGTCATAAATTCATTTGCACAGTTGTCATATTCTCCTACAAAAGTTGTCTTGTGGCATTGCATCTGATCATCATGAACTATAGACTGTAGTAGTAAGTACATAAAAAACTGAAAATGCCGTGAAAAGAAATTTTAGCTTAAGTTTGTAAGTTAAACCTGAGTGATAAAAAGCAGCCCTGTATGCTTCAAAGTATCAGTGCATTGTGTTCTGTTCTTCTAGTTGATTATTACTTATCAACATTAAAACTCTGTTTTTTAGGATGCTACTGATCACACTGATTCAGCAAGCAAGGAGGCAGAAGAAATATCATTGAAAGAAATAGAAGGGTGGCGAGAATCAATGGAATTGCTAGAAACAAAGAAACTAGAGACGGAAGTAGAAAGTGAATTGGTTTTGGCAGCACGTTCAGGATTGGAAGATTCGATAGAACATCTGGTTGAAGATGACAAAAGAGAAAAGGACATGCTGAGTAAGAAAGGGGATACCCTTGCAGAGGAGTTAACTGAGCTCCTGAAATTGGTAAGGTTGAAAGAAGCAGAGATAGCTGAAAACAATGCTCAGATCCAGGAGGTTCAAGAAAGGATCACTGCCGTTGTCTCCAGATTTTATGGATCCCAGACAGATATTGATCTAAAGCTCAAAACCCTTCAGGAAGCACAAACTAAAATGGACTCAGAGGCTCAAGCACTTGCCCTAAAAAAGAATGAAATTGATAGTTTCATCTCCTTATCAGAACAGAAAGACTCAAAATTACGGGAAATTATCAATGATTGTTCCTCTGAAGCAAAAGCTTGCCAGCAGTCAGTAGATATCAGAAGGAAGCTTGCATCGTCAATTTTGAAGTCAAGGGAGGACAGAATTGGGTTGTTAAAAATGGAGGAGGAAATTTTGCAAGATATCCAAGTGCTCAGGCAACAAACATCAGATGCAAGAATCAGTCTTCAGGTACATTAATCCTTTTTCATGTTGATAAAAAAGATCATCATGTTTAATTTTTAGAGGACACCGTGTAAGTAAGAACACAAATATTTTTATGTACTTATTGAGTTTGATGACTTGCAGGAGATATCTTCAAGGAAGGCTGTCATTCAGCAAGATATAGCTACATTTAAGCAGAAATTGAGCTTTATTGACAAAAGGGGCCCTGAACTAGAGGCTGAAAAGAGAGTTGCTGCCGCTGCAAGGAATTTCAAGGAAGCTGGAAGGATAGCTGCTGAGGCTAAAGCGCTTTACTCTGAAAAGGAAGAACTTCATGCTAAACTTGAGAAAGCTGCTACTGATCTGGAGGTAATCGAAAAGGATATCACAGCTACCACTGACAAAATACAGGAATGCGAAGGGCTTATTATACTCAAAGAAAAAGAATCAGCCATGACAAGTTACAAAAGACTCAGGTTGGATGCTGCTGCTGCTAGAGCAGAATTGACTGCTGCAACTGAAACAGACGATAGCGAAGAGGTTGAGGTTCTGCGGAAAGAAGCTGAAGCTGCAGAATCTAAAGCAATGGAACTAAAAACATGCTATGACCTTGAACTGGACGACAACGAAATCATGTTTCAGCCTGTAGTCCCTATAGTATTCATAACCAATTCAACAGGGCAGCACTTGCTAGAAATTGCGTCTTCTTTCGGTCTATCCCCCTAGAAGCAAACTTCGACAGTACTTGCATGCCACCATGCTTGTTACAGTTTGTAGAGTTTTGCCAGCGACAGCTGCCTATTGAAGGGAACATCTGTGCTGCAATCAAAGCTTATCTCCAGATATACATGTCTTCCTCATTGTTCCTCCTTACCTCCTAGCATTTGGGATCTACTCTAAATCGAGGAGAGGTTCCTAGGGGACAGCCAAGTGTATAACATCCATTTTGCGTACTCAAACTCTTCAGGGAGTTTGTCTCCCCCTCATTTTTGTGTACATTAAGACTGTAATTCTTTTGTTGTTGTGGTAATTTTGGTTGAGCTACAGTAAATGCCATTCATCCGAATGTAATCAGTATAAGTTATCCATGAAATAAACTCTCTTCTGCATTGCACAACTAGTCACATCGAGTCATCGAGTATGTGTTGAAAGTTAGTCCTAGCTAAGAACTGTTTTATAGAGTTGTTGCTTCAGCATGAAGAAGCTGTGAACCTCACAGGCCGTTGTGAAATCTATCCTACTCTCTACCTGCCAAATATAATCACCAAAAGGGAGTGACATTTTAGTATACTTTTTTTTTCTGCCTTTTGTACTCCTAATACATACTTTCACAGTTCATATAAAGATCTCGAGGGTGAAATTTCAGGAGCAATTCCAGTTTCAGCTTGGGAGAATGGAGAACACTACCAAGGGCAAGGTGTGTGTCACTGGGGCTTCTGGCTATGTTGCCTCTTGGCTTGTGAAGCGACTTCTTGAGTCAGGGTATCATGTTCTTGGGACAGTCAGAGACCCAGGTCCATCTTTCATTCTGTTCTAATTGAGTTCAGTTTACTTGTTTCATGGTGATGGATGGACTTGTTAATTTGAGTTTAAATTTCTGTTTTTGGTTACTTTGGCAGGCAATCACAAGAAAGTAGGGCACCTGTGGAATTTAACAGGTGCAAAGGAAAGGCTGGAGCTTGTGAGAGCTGACCTCTTGGAAGAAGGGAGCTTTGATGATGCTGTGATGGCTTGTGAGGGTGTCTTCCATACTGCATCACCTGTCATCACCGAAACTGACTCCAGCAAGGCATGCTACACTAACTGTGAAGACCACTTTCACCCTGCAATTATGCGACTCTCCTTTTTATCTTGGAATTCAGATTTAAGATGCCATCTGGTTGTAGGTTTTAACTTTTAACAGATGTGATGCTACTTCATTTGTAGGCAGCAGTGCTTGATTCAGCGATAAACGGCACCCTGAACGTTCTGAGATCATGCAAGAAGAACCCATCCCTCAAGAGGGTAGTCCTCACCTCTTCATCATCAACCGTGAGGCTCAAAGATGAAGCTGATCTGCCACCCAACGTGTTGCTGGATGAGACATCATGGAGCTCCATGGAGTTCTGCGAGAGTCTCCAGGTGAACAGAGCACAATCCGATATATACATTTGCAGGTTTTTGGCATTGTTTCAGCTGCTCTGAACATCTATCTTTGTACATAGATATGGTACGCCATTGCCAAGACACTTGCAGAGAAGGCAGCCTGGGAGTTCGCCAAGGAGAACGGCATCGACCTTGTGGCTGTTCTTCCAACCTTCGTGGTTGGACCCAATCTGTCTCATGAATTAAGTCCCACTACCACCGATGTCCTCGGCCTATTCCAAGGTACATGAAACGCAACCGTGAATACGAAGAATTTTCTTCGATTTCAGTTAGAATCATGAACTGTCTCATATGAAACTCTTGCATTTCAACGGAGCGTAATCTTTCAGAAACACTTCTACAAAGACGCTCTCTGCATTCAGTCCTCTGAGTGAATGTCCATGAAATCGCATTGCAGGTGAGACAACGAAGTTCACCATGTACGGGAGGATGGGGTACGTCCACATCGACGATGTCGCGAGCTGCCACATCCTGCTCTACGAGACACCCCGTGCAGCCGGGAGGTACATCTGCAACTCGGCTGTCCTGGACGTCAACGAACTGGTCACCTTGCTCGCTAGGCGATTCCCTTCGTACCCCATCCCAAAGAGGTCAAGAACTCCGGCGAAATGGAACTTTTTTTTTTCTGCTGATTGATCGATTCATTGGTTTGTGTCTGTGTTTCTGAAGATGACATTGTCTTGGGATTTCTCTGTAGTTTGCCGTGCGTTTACGGGGAGCAGACTTATGGTTTCAGCACGGCCAAGGTGAGGGAGCTGGGCATGAAGTTCAGAGATGTGGAGGAGATGTTCGACGACGCCGTCGACTCGCTCAGAGCTCACGGCTACCTGCTGAACAGCGTACCATGACAATTGACGACAAATTTATCAGAATTCAGAAATTGGGTATGCCCCGACGAAGATGAAGCTGTAGCTAGAATCATCAGTTGCACACAGGAAAAATGTGTCTCTGTGTCAGAGAAGGTTGTGCGCTACTGAAGAAGTGGAGATGATTATGTATTATACTCCCTCCGTTTCACAATATAAGTCATTCTATTATTTCCCACATTCATATTGATGTTAATGAAACTACATCTATTTAAGTTTCATTAACATCAATATAAATGTGGGAAATACTAGAATGACTTACATTGTGAAACGGAGGAAGTAGAAGATTTATAACTTGTTGAGAAAACGTTAATCGTATTGTTCGTGTATCCAAAACATAAATTTTAAAAAAATATTATCTCGTTCAGATTATTGTTAGTGGTGACTATTACTCCGTAGTATTTTATTTCGACCGCTTGTTAGTTAATGAGGACGATGCACAAAATTTCATACTCGTGTCTAAGATACAATACACTTAGTAAACATGACATCTTTTAAGTATTTGCTTTTCTTTTCCCAGGAGTAGTCAAAGTTGGATGATGACTAATTCTGTTGACTGCTACTTAAAAATGGATGGAGCTATGTTTAAAATTAAGAAGATTTAACTGCAACTACTGTAGTATAATTTTTTTTTAAAAAAATATTTTTGACCAGAGGGAGGGTTTTTTTTTTTTTGAGAGAGTAATAGGGAGGAGGTTTAAACATGACCAAAAGCATGACTCGCTGATCGATCTGAGCCCATGGGCCTTATCTCGGCCCAAGATTCCGAGACGTAATCAAGCAGGAGGACAAAGTCATAGAGATAAGCCGTTTTTAGCGCACTCGCTTGCTCAGGTTCCTCCTCATCTTCTTCTCTCCTCTTATCCCCTTCGCCTTCCTCCTCCCCGCCTACACGACCAGTTCCTGGTTTCTGCTGCCTTCCCTCGGTCTGGATCAACAAGGTGAGTCCCAATCTTTGACATCCTGCCTCACTTCCATTCTTGCACCCAGGTTTGCTTGGATGATTTCTGGTTTCGTTGGCGACCTGCACTGCACCTGTTCGATGAATTGCCGCAATGGATAGTTTCTTGATTGATTGAGTACGCTAGGGTACCGTTTGCACTGAGTGCACTAGATGTCCGAACACACGCTGAGAAATTTGAGGGATTTTTTTATGGTTGTTGAGCAGAGGAGGTCGTCCAATGGCGAGTGGTGGGAGCAGCAATGCCGGGAGCCTGACGCAGTGGCTGAGGGAGAAGGGGTTCGACGAGGAGGCCATCGGGCGGATGTCGAGACGGTGCAAGAACCTTCACGGCCTTGACGCCGGCGAGGCCTCCGGGGTGTGGGACTACCTCCTGAACGTCGTCAAGATCGAGCGGCGGAAGCTCCGGTACGTGGTCACCAAGTGCCCCAAGGTGCTCACCCTGTCCGTCGACGACAAGCTCGTCCCCACGGTGCAGTGCCTCACCACGCTGCAGGCTAAGCCCGGCGAGGTTGCGCAGGCCATTGTCAAGTTCCCCCAGATACTGTTCCACAGCGTGGAGGAGAAGCTCTGCCCTCTCCTCGCCTTCTTCCAGACGCTTGGCATCTCTGAGAAGCAGCTCGCCAAGCTGCTCATGGTCAACCCGCGCCTCATCAGCTACAGCATTGAGGCCAAGTTCTCGCAGACCGTCAACTTCCTCGTTGGCCTTGGCATTGACAAGGAGGGTATGATCGGCAAGATCATGGCAAAGGAGCCCTACATCATGGGTTACAGTGTTGACAAGCGCCTTCGTCCTACTGCCGAGTTCCTCAAGTCGGCGGTCGGGCTTGAGGGGTCAAATCTTCAGAGGGTGATCATGAGTTTTCCTGATATTTTGTCGCGAGATGTCGATAAGATTCTGCGGCCCAATTTGGCGTTCTTACAGAGCTGCGGTTTCAGCAAGGATCAGGTCATGGCATTGGTGGCTGGATACCCTCCTGTTCTCATCAAGAGTGTCAAGCATTGCCTGGAGCCTAGGATGAAGTTCCTTGTTGAAGAAATGGGGCGGGACATGGGTGAGGTGGTGGATTACCCCCAGTTCTTTCGCCATGGTCTCAAGAGGAGCCTGGAGTACCGCCACAAGGTGCTCAAGCAGATGAATTCAAGGTGCAGCCTCAGTGAGATGCTTGACTGTAATCAGAAGAAGTTTGCCATGAAATTTGGTTTGCTTGCAGCAGTTTAGGCATGCATCCTCTCTTCAGTTCCCATGTAGCATGTTTATTTTTCAGGTGAAAGTTTTTCCTTTTGTACTAGCATTTTGGACATCGAGAATTCAAAGCATTTTGCTTTACTGGGTGTTTTCTGGAATGTCAAGTGCAAATTTGCCTCTTTCAGTGTCATGATTAATGTATAACCTTGCATCAATTCGCAGAAGAGAAAGCAATGCAAAGCATATGAATTTTCTTGTCGGCATGCTCTTCTCAGTTGAAATGCCCAAGTGAGTTGTACCACTACAGCAGTAAGGGGAAGACATTACTACAGCATTCCTATCCTTGGAAGCTATCACAATCACCTATTTACACTACACATATACACCAATCATTTGTTATTTGTTCATTACTTACAAGCACAATTGGGGAAAGTGGGAAAACAGTGCCTACTCAGCCAAACTCCTATGTATAGTATATCTGAAAGATGATTTGAAGGGGATCCACTCAACACACTTGTCTATTCTTCTCCGAAGACATTGTCTGATTTCCTTTTGTTGAGCTTCAGGCATGATCTCACATGCCATCTCAACCAAGTCAGGCAACTCGAGAGCAGCATCCTTCGCATAATGATGGAGAACTTTAGGTAGGAAGATTGTCTGCTTTCTGACTATGACACTAGCTTGAATGAACTCAGTCCTGGCTTGATCCAGTTGATGATTCACTTTCTTGGCAGTGTACAGCCTCACCTGCAGAACTTTTTACAGTAAGAATATTGTGATCACTTTGCAGACAAAATTTTAGCATATCTATTCTGCTTACAGGTGGATCTGAAATTGCTCCAGTGGAAAGAGCAAAATGAGCAAGTGGCTCTGGAGGATGAAGAGCATATGGATGTATGGAGCTCCCTGATGCCGATTTTTTCAGTGGAGTAAATAGAGTCCGTACCCACTGCATGTCAATTATTTTGTTAGTTTCTTTCCTCAAATGTGTTTGTCTTTGTATTATTGGTGGAAAATATTGTGCAGGTGTAAACCATACCACTGAAGTGCGATGGGATTGGCATCCAATAATTGAGTTCTGGATAATTTGGGCGTTTACTGAAAGCCCACCCACATTATATGCAGCCTGACAACAGATTGTTCAAGTATGTAAGATATATCAAAACATTTCAAATGATGACAGTATCATTGTTCAAATTTGATAGTTGTGTACCTTCAGAATCATGTCTGTGTTTTTCATGCGTTTCTCCTGAAGTCCATAAGCCATAAAAGCCTGTTATATTTCAGAAAATACTGCGGGTTAGGTGTGCATGCATTCTGGGTTTAACACTGAAGTGTAGAACATAGCGAAGGTGACAACTGTTGTCAGTCATAAAAAAAAAATGTTATGACTACTATGCATACATGCATCACCAAAGCGTTGTGGATGTTGATCCAAAAACAGAGCTGCTCTTCATGTGCCATTTTTGTTGGGTCAATTTTCTCAAGTCGTTTTATCAGCGATCTGAGATTAAAAAAAAGTGAACATAAGTAAATAAATAGCATTTCCTGCTTTATAGGATTTCTTTATTGCAGAGTTGCTTACCTGACAGTCTCTAGCATTTTAGAGGCATATTCAAACTTTTCTGCATCCATATATATCCTTGGGCATATTATCATCCCATTGTATTGTTCACTTTTCTCATTCAATGAATCATATTTGTCAGAGCTTGTGTTGACATTGTAATGGCATCGGGGACTCCAACTATCAACACGGTGCTTTAAAGAAAATGTACTTGATGAAGAGGAGAATGAAGGAGTTGATAAAGTCTCAAAATCCGCCAAATTTTGTGATGGCTGGCTTGCAAGTTTGCAGTATACTGCAGAAATGCATCTTACGATGTCCTCCGAAAGTTTGCAAGAGATCTTTGGCACATATTCAGCGATTGAAGCACTCAAGAAATTTGCAAGGCTAGAATGTCCTGAAGATGATCTCGACAGCCCCTGTGAAAAACATGAAAGATAGATTTTCTCAGTTTGAGAGATTTTGACAGAAAACCATATGTTTGTGCCTGAGCTAAAACCTGTACTTTGAAGAGGAAAAAGATATAACTGAAACTGGCACAAACTGGTAAGTTTTATCAGAAGAACTAAAAGAAGAGATTGTTCATACATGTTTAGAATCTGAAACTGTTGATACTGTTGGCAAGTTGTAGGATGCTGACTCCTTGATATTTCTCAATCGGAGGGCACCTTCATCAGCTTTCTTTCTGCTTTTCTGATGGTGTATTTCTTGATCCACCTGATCATGATTGTAAACCTAAATATACTGTATACTCTCTGAATTTATGTGCAGTATAGTTCTGAAAATTGATCCATCCAAGGTGCAAGGCATGTACCTGGGTAGAAACACGAGGGGATACACCTAGGTGTTGATCAAATGCTGCCCTGTAGAGGGAAAGCAAATGCAGTTCCTTGCGAACAACTTCCTCCTCAAGGGCTGCTATCTCCCAAACTAAGTCTGCAATAGACTGCAGGAACCACAAGGTCAGTGATCAGATATCGATAACTAAATGTTTATAATTTCATTTGCCTTTTCACTTCGTTTTGAATTTTAAAGTTGGAACACTGTTTTCAGAGTATCATTATTATGGCACATGATCTTTGTTACTATTCTTAAGGCCTCAAGTTATTTTGAAAAAAAGCAAGATGATTAGAACAAAAGTACGGGTATAAAACCTGAACTGAACAGCTTTTCTTCAGCTTTTGGAAACAAATAGGACCTTGAGATCATGAAATACTATGCAACTTATGAGGATGTGGAGCAAACCTTTGATATGGTTTTCTCACTTTGTTCTGCACTTGTAATCACGTGATGCTCAGGCAAATGCTCTGGCAGGTTAAGAGAATATCTTCTGCGGAGCATCTTATCTTTGTTGGTTGTCTGCACAATCATGAAAATAATATCATTAAAGCAAAATTCAGTAAGAAAGTAGTAATTTAAGTTTGTAGTAACTTTTGCTTATTTGAAACAAGACACCGGGGAAAAGTTATTAACAAAATAACTAACAAAATAGGGAATTTAAATTACCCACAGGTTTGTGATAAGAGAGTCGAGGCGATATGTCCAATACATTTCCATGTGTGCTTACAACGCTGAAAATACAAGAACTAAAGTAAGAACGCTGCTTAATCAGAATAATCATTCAAACAAACTGAAAGCTAAGCAGCTGAGAATAGTGAATCAGA